ATTCCCCTGATTATTCTGCTGGTTGTAACCACCCTGATGGCATTGGCTTTGAAAACCGGAGCTTGAAGCGCCACTTCCATGACCCGGACCATGAGGGCCGGAACCTGAGCCACCGCCCGACCCATGATTGTTTTGGAACAAATCAGAATTTTTGAACTCCTTCATAATGTGCCAGACCTTCCCAAGGTGACCAGACGGCCTTTCCTTCGTACCATGCTTTGGGCAAGGCTGATTCAACATCTTCTCAAGATTGATACCTGACCCTCTTACCCGAGGGGGTGCCTTTCCCTTACGACGTTGACCATTATTTTGCATGTTGGTATTGGCCACAAAATCTGAATTATTATAGGCCTTGCGCTTACCATTGCCCTCCCGACTCGCCGGGTTATGACGCTCACCCTTGGTGTTGTCACTCTTTTTTTCCTTTCTCGTATTTTCATCATCAGACTCGAGGTCCTTGGTACTATCAGAATCGGCATATTTAATTAGAGCCGCCATCAGCTCCCCCATGTCATTGCAGTGGCGCTTGAGCCACCCTGGCTTCTGTTTAAGGGGCAAAAACGACAATTCTTCTCTAACATTAGGACTGCTGAGCCGGCATTGAAGCTATCCGATGAGTGCAAGATAGCTTTGACCCGGCGTACCCAATGGGTTGTTGACTCACCCTCTTCTTGGGCGCAGGCATCCAGATCCACAATCGACATGGGATGCTTGCACGTATCTTTAAAATTCTGAATAAACCGGGTTTTTAACTCAGCCCGCGACCTAATGGAATTGGCAGGCAACCCTTTTAACCAAGTACATGTTGTCCCATCCAACATCATGGTGAAGTATTTGGCACACGTAGCAGCGCTGACCTCCAACAACTCCATGGCCATCTCGTAACTCTCAATCCACGCCTCAGGGGGTAAGTCAGCTGTATAGTTAGGCACTTTACGAGGTCCTTTGAAATCCTTGGGCAGACGCTCATTACGAAGAGCCGGCACTAAACATGGTATGCCCGTGGTTCTAGAGGTCATGCATGCCTCCACCGAAGTCGTTGGATAAACCGGAGATTGTTAACGGGCCGCGTGCTGAGCCGCTAGCTCAGCCTGCCGGCGTGCTTTATCCTGATCCATGAGGGCCTGAGTATTAACACCACCGCGCGCCAGGTCATGTCCATGGGGTGGGTTGCGACGTTCACTGCTTGATACCGCCGGGTAGTCCATGTGCCTGCTATAACTTCGGCTTGGGCGAGGGGTCGAATGAATCCTCTCACGATTGTAAGAATAAGCCGCCTGCTGGGCCACAGCCGTCTGAAGCAATTCTCTGGCTCGTCGTATCTCCATCGCCGCTGGCGATTCACCTTCAACCGGTAGGGCTGCCAGTCGCGTTGCGCAACTATCATATTATCCAAAGGGTTAGAATAATGACCCGGCGGTGTCGGCACATGCCGAGGCGGAGTCATATTCAACCGGGGCGGCTCTGTCGTGCACGGCTGGGCCGGCGTTCTAGTCCCAGGTGCTTCAACCCGGTTTACCGCCGGCGGGTTACTGGTCCCTACCCCAGGCGTGTTAAAGAGATTTCTCGCCTCGTAAACTGAAGATAGACGAGTTTGATGCCTCCTCCTCGTGACTTCGTTTGAAGCGTTTTGATCCATCATGAGCCGGAAAGATTCTGACTGAATCCGCTGCGCCTGAGCATCCAAAGTAGCCCGCTCCGCGGCCATCCTGGCGTTCTCTGCGTTCAGCTCCTCCTTGGCCTATGCTATCTCATCACGCAATTTTTCAACCTCCGCGTTGTGCTGATCTTGATCGGCTGGGTTAACCACCAATGTTAACAATGTTGTCAGTTTGTATAGCAAGTCGGTTAAGACCTGAGCCGGCGGGCGCACAGGGCCTCCTGCCCCGGCAGCCGTTGCCGTTGCTGACCCAGAGATTATTGCTGTCGTAGTTGAAGAATTCTGCACCGGCTGTGTATCGGCCATGAAGATAGCAACCCTATTCGGTGGCTCATAGGGGTCCGGAATACTGTCGCCATCGGAATAGCCCCCATGCCGGCCGTCTTGCAGTTGATACAACGACTCGGTCTCACCAGTGGACGACTCACCATCAGAGTAGACGACCGTCTTACCACCAGATACAGATCTATCCTCAGATTCTGCCCCATGAATGAATCCCACGAAGGCACGCTTCACGGCAGGCTGAACTCGAGCGGGTCGTGCACGCTGAGCCGTCTCGATGATGTTGGTGCAGATGTCCGACTCAGGGCCCGGCTCGCCGATCTTGCAAATGGAGACGTGGATGCTACCGAAGGGGACCCGGTACCCGTACTCAATTGAGTCGGCCTCGGGGCCCCATCCTGCATCGTCGATGTAGAGCTTGCCGCGACGACTCTTGGTCATCCAGCCCACAGCGTATCCCTTGATCCCTTCAAAGCTGCCCTTCAAGAACTCGAAACCACCGTGCGCTGGCCCCACGGTGGGCGCCAACTGTCGTGGAATTGTCACGGCAGATGTCCTAGTGTGAGGACTTAGTCATGGAGCCATCGCAACTAGGTTAGCTTAAAGGGGTTAAACGGGACAAAGGACACAAGAGTTTATACTGGTTCGACCCCTTGCGATGAAGGTAAAGGCCTAATCCAGTTTGAGGTGGTATTGCTTATGTCTCGATTACTAGGGAGCGAATACGCTTGACCTAGCTTTCGATCTATCTTGTTTCTTGTCCCAAGTCGCTGCCGGATCGTCCCTTTATATAGGTAGACGCCCGGCGGCTCACAGAATCCCGGTCGGCACATAAACAACGTGTCCGACTTGGTGTCTAACTGTACATGCCTTATCATACAAGTCATACATACATGGCGGTTTACACTTATTGGGCCTTAAGTTGCCTCTGGGCTTCAGGCCCTTGCAGGTCTGCTTCGTGAACCGCCATCTTTAACATCTTCATGGGCATCGTAATGGTAAACCTCCATGAGCATAACCCGGCCCCTCCTGGGCGGGTTATACTCAATAGTTATATCCCCAACAACGCCCTTACCACATGGTTGCATGCTTCTAAACTTTGGGAAGAAATGCAGAAGGATTGGCCCTTTCGTCGAAAGAAAAACTTGTATGTACCGATGATGAGTGACCACTACATTTACTATGAGATGTGACAGACGAGGTTCGTGCGATGATCATTATGTTGATTTGGCAAATATGGAATTTAAGGACGGACATGGTTCATGCGAAAGAGATGCCACCAGTGGAGGTATATAGAAGCTTTTTTTTTGTAGTTTCATGCCATCTTGGATCTGCAGCCACACCAGAGAAGCATTACTTCCATGGCCTCCCCCACTTCCTGGTTGGGTGGCCTTATATACCGACAGATCCTTTGTTAAAGAATTCAAAGAAGCATGCACTAGCATGGTCTTCAGAGATTCTAAAGGTTCAATCATATTTGCAACTTTTAGGCACTTATCAATTGTAATGATGCTTTGGAGGCAAAACTTGGTGCAGCTGTGGAGGGATTGGCCCGAGCAATCCAAAGGTTGGACTCTCCCATTGTGATAGAGTCTGACAATGCTTGTGCCATTTGTTGCTTTGACAAACAACTCGCTCGATCGATATGTTTTTTGACACCCGATGGCTGAGATCATGCATCTCCCAGCAAGTTAGCCGGTGATCAAAATAGGGTAACTGATAGTCAAGCTAATATCGATCGTTCTGGAGGTCGCACCGCTTGTTGGTTGCTCCATGTTTCAGATGGCGTTTCTAAGTTTGTACTAACAGACTGCAACTTTACATCGAAATAAAATTGTCTTTTGCCTCTATTTTTTAAGAATTAAATTGGCTAGATAAGATGGGGCTTGCATGCCCCCTCCCTCGTCCCTTCCATGCTCCCTACCACACATTTTACATCCAATATCCTCTTTGTGCATTCTTTTTTAGAATCTTTGTGTATATTTCTTTAGTCAAAGAAAAACTAGACGCCCCGGTATTTCCTGCTCTCCTCCACACGTATTTCCTTCTTTCCCTTTCGCATGAGCCTGCCAAGCAGTGCAGACCGAGCGAACTAGCCTGTGGTTGGATGGTTAGAGGGACAATGGTATCCCCAGCCCATCAGGGTTCAAGTCTTGATGCTCGCATTATTTCTGGATTTATTTCAGGATTTCCGGCGATGCACTTTCAGTGGGAGGAAACGTTCCCGTCGACGGCGAGGTGCCTATGGTGACTTCGTAAATTTCAAGATGACATGTCGGCTCAGTCTTTCGGAGGTGCTCATAGGGGTAGGGTGTGCGTGTGTACGTTTATAGGGGTGAGTGTATGCGCGTATGTATGAGCGCTTGCGTCTGTATTGATGTTCAAAAAAAATGCAGACCGAAAAAAAAAGAAACACGGAAACAAAATTGAAGAGCCCGTTGGATGTAAAATGTGGCGTAGGAGCAAGGATGAGAGCACGAGGGAGGGAGCATGCAAGCCCCGCCCTCATGGCAACCCTGGTTTCCGGAACCTTCTTACCAACGGTGTTCAAATCTCCACCACGTCTCACAGGTCAGAAACAGGTGGACCATCTCAGGAGGCTGGAAATTTCTGCAACGGAACGGACGCTGCAAAGCAAAGTGCCCACCTGGTCGTGGGCCACCCACAACCATGCACCCACTGGCCCCACATGTCAACCTCCTTGTATGATACACAGACTATCCACACCGGTGCACATAGCGTTACTCCGGGGCCCTGCTCCAGAACCTTCTCCCAAAACGCTAACACCACCGAGCAAACCCAAGCCCCCTTCCCCACTCTCTCACCGACAGCCCGGGACCACGGTGCCAGCGAAGCGCACTCCCTCCTTCTTGATCCGCAAGGCGCACCCTATTTATACGCCTCATCCCCTCTGCCTCTGGTCGCCCCCACAAAACCCTACCCCTCTTCCAAAACCCTCGCATCGTCGTCTTCCTCGGTCGGCCCACCTGCGCAAGCGCGCCTCCAGCCCACATCTCTCGCCCTCGCCTGGGAGGAGAACGAGCAGAGCGCAGCGGAGATGCTCGGGGCCTCAAGGCGATCCCTCTGCGCCGGCGCCGCAGCCCGCCGCCACGCCGCCGCCTTCGCGGTCTCCGGAGACGCCGCCGCCGCCGCCGCCGCCTCCCCCTCCCCCTCCCTCTCCCCCTCGGCCCCGCCGCGTTCGGTACGTATGTGCGACATTGACTGTATGGTACGTAGTGTACTCCGCTGTTTCCTGTTTGGTTGATTGCAAAGTAGGAGCTCGTGGTGAGCTTGAATCGGTGCGTGTTTTTACATTAGGTGTTGCGAAGCAGTCATTGCCCCCAAATTGGGGGCTGTGTTTTGATTGATTGATGGGTTATGTATTAATTTGTGTCTGTGAGTGAGTTGAGGTTTGGGTTGATCTGATTTCCTGTTCAGTATGTCATTTGTGTACCGATTGCTGATAGTATTTTATTGCGAGAAGAAATGTGCAATTGCTAGGTCTGGTGTGATTTTGTTCTTCTGATTTATTGGTACATTACTCTACAACACGAGCGGCTTTGTGATGTTTGCTGTGTCTTCTCAATTTCAGGTGACAAACCCAGACCCTGGTGTCTCTCGGCTTGGAGGGAAGAGGTTGCTCTCTGTGCTTGCAGCTCCCAAGCTTAATGGAGTTGAAAGCTTGTCGTCCCTCAAGCTGAGGGAGAGCGCCCTTGTTGGGAGACGGTATGAATCGAGTGCTGCAGCAGTTGATTCATCTGACGCGCCACCTGCCGAGAAGTTTGAGTATCAGGCTGAGGTACCTATGACTTTCTTTTTGTATGGTTGCGTGCTAATCTTTACCAATGTTTGCATCATGAATATGATGGGGAACAATTTGTGCTCGGCAGGTCAATAGGCTCATGGATTTGATTGTGCACAGCTTGTATAGCAACAAGGAAGTGTTTCTCCGGGAGCTGGTTAGGTGGGCAACAATTCACAACATAAATTTTTCATTTTTAGAAATAGCAGTAGTTATCTCCAAATTCACTCTTTATTTGTTTTGTTTTATTGACACTTGTTCCTCGCCATGATATTGCATTAACTTCATTTTGGCAATTGTTTTTCCCAGTCAGGGCTTAATGAGTGCCACAAAACTTCAGTCTAGTTGCTCAGCCTAATTTCGCCTTTCTTTTCTTGTACCTGCAGCAATGCAAGTGATGCACTTGACAAATTGCGCTATCTGAGTGTCACTGATCCTGATCTTCTTAAGGATGGCCCTGAACTTGACATTCGCATCCAAACAGACAAGGACAATGGAATAATAACGATTACGTAAGCACATGTTACTTGATGGTGACCAGCTGTATATTTTCTTATTGGGAAATGATTTGCATCGTGACCTGCACTTTCTTTCCAGTGATTCTGGGATTGGTATGACGAGGCAAGAACTTGTTGATTCTCTTGGAACTATCGCAAGCAGTGGAACTGCCAAATTCCTGAAGACATTGAAGGTGTGATCTAATTGCAGATTTCATTCTCCTCTTGTCTATCTTCCAAATCCTTCTATATTTATGACTTATGCTTATTGTACAACAGGAGAGCCAGGAAGCTAATGTTGATAGCAACTTGATTGGCCAATTTGGTGTTGGTTTCTATTCGGCATTTCTTGTTTCAGACAAGGTACTGTGTTATGTTATCATGGTTGTATTTGACACTCTGGTTGTGAGATAGTGTTTCTTTTTCTTTTGCTGAACGTTTCCTGTATTTTTCTGCTACTCTGTATATTAGGTTGCTGTGTCAACAAAGAGCCCAAAATCAGAAAAACAATATGTTTGGGAAGCAGAAGCAGAATCTAATTCCTACACCATTCGAGAAGAGAAAGATCCAGAGAAGCTCATTCCTAGGGGAACTCGTCTTACACTTTACCTGAAGGTCCGTTTGCTTTTATTTTATGATTTAAATTTTTACTGTATGCCCCATTTGAAATATGTACTATGCTTTGTTTCAGCGGGATGACAAGGGTTTTGCTCACCCTGAGAGGATCCAAAAACTTCTGAAGAATTACTCTCAGTTTGTTTCCTTCCCAATTTACACTTGGCAAGAGAAGGGCTTCACAAAAGAGGTGACTAATCCTTCTAGCTCTTTGTGGTTATTAAAGTGGAACCTTGCTTATGCAAGACATTCATTGATTATCTAGGTTGAGGTTGACGAGGATCCTGCTGAAGTTAAAACAGGTGGTGACGGTGAACCCAAAAAAGAGGTAACATTGTAATAAACCGTAAAAAAGAAGTCATTTTGCACTGCTTTCCTTTGAGCCATATTCTGTTGACCAAATTGTGCTTCATTCTTACATGTTGATAATTTGTAATATTGCGATGTTAACAGGTTAAGAAAAAGACAAAAACCGTTGTGGAGAAGTATTGGGACTGGGAGCTTACAAATGAAACACAACCTATTTGGGTGAGAACTTTGGGACTGTTTATTGTGCTGCTTGTCTTGTTGATAAATGATAACTACGTTTTTTCACTTCCAATTTTTCTTCTGAGAGAGGCTGAAATTATTCCTGTTGTTGTGTTGTTGCCAGCTTCGGACTCCTAAGGAGGTATCAACTGAGGAGTACAACGAATTTTACAAGAAGACCTTCAACGAGTATTTGGATCCCTTGGCCTCCTCACACTTCACTACAGAGGTATATTCCTTTGCCTTTCTGTTGCTTTTGTTGATTCAACACATGGTTGGTGCATCACATGATATCTGCAGTTGCTTTTGCCTAGATAATATGTGCAATCTAAATAATACACAGTTGATCAACAAATGCTACTTAATTTTTTTCATTTTTTACATACTCCAATTGCAAAGACTTGCAGAAGCATTCATCTATGAACCATGTCTTTGTTGAAAGAGATATGCCAATAAATATATAGAAAAAAAGTCATAATTTTGTAGCATGTAATTACGAAAATTCAGCTACCTACATGGATGTTATTTGACATTATAGTTGCTCTGCTGTTTCTGTAACATAGTCTTCCGATAGGCAATAATAAACTCTATGTGAAAATGGTAGTGCGATTGGTAATGTGATGCAGGGTGAAGTAGCCTGATAAGGATCTTCACAACTCACATTCAAGCAAACTGTTTCTTGATCAAATTTGATGCAGGGTGAAGTAGAATTCAGGTCAATTCTGTATGTGCCTGCTACAAAGAAAGAGGACATAACTGATAGGAAGACTAAAAATATCAGGCTTTATGTCAAGCGGGTGTTCATATCAGACGACTTCGATGGAGAACTGGTATGCTTGATACTTGCTCTTCATGGTTCTTTGTAAAACTTTTAACTTGTCAATTTGATAACTGAGCTTTGTGACTCACCAGTTCCCAAGATACCTGAGCTTTGTGAAGGGTGTTGTTGACTCAAATGACCTTCCCCTAAATGTTTCTCGTGAGATCCTTCAAGAGAGTCGAATTGTAAGTTCTTTGTGGGGGTATTTCTACTGTTTTTGTGCATTTCAATACTGAGCTCCTGAATTTTGATTCCTTTGTTTCTGATTTTGGTATAGGTGCGTATAATGAGAAAGAGATTGGTGCGGAAGGCCTTTGATATGATACTCGGCATTTCTTGTAGTGAAAACAGAGATGTAAGCGCTTTCATTTCCTTCGTAGCAGGGTTTCTTGGTCTTTCTATTTGCATTCTCATCTGAAGGCTTACTGTAGGACTATGAAGCATTCTGGGAGAACTACGGCAAATTTTTGAAGCTCGGTTGCATGGAAGACAAGGAAAATCACAAGAGAATTGCTCCTTTGCTCCGTTTCTTTTCTTCTCAGAGCAATGAGGAATTAATTAGCTTGGATGAATATGTGGAGAGTATGAAACCAGAGCAGAAGGCCATTTATTACATTGCTGGAGATAGTTTGAGCAGTGCCAAAAATGCTCCTTTCTTAGAGAAGCTCAATGAAATGGGTTATGAGGTATGTACTGAACTACTGATGATAGACCATTGCTTCTACAAATACTCCCTCAGTTTCTAAATATAGGACTTTTTAGAGATTCCAATACGGAGTAATACAGATGTATATAGAGTTTTTTTAGAGTGTAGATTTACTCATTTTGCTCCGTATGTAGTCCATATTGGAATCTCTAAAAAGGCTTATATTTAGGAACGGAGGGAGTAGATGATAACTTCGTTTATGTCTTTATTTAAATGTTCCCTCTCGGTCTCATGTCCTCGGATGCATCTTTCCTGTCAAACTTTGCCTTATAGTTGGCTGAGACGTCACATATTTTTGTCCACTGTTTGAACAAACATGTTTTTCATGAGTTGAGGTCTCTTATATTTTCACTTGCTATTCAGACAAACATGCTTAATTAATGCCTGGTTGGGACAGCTGTATTTTTTGCATCATGCCGTGAAACATTATGAATGATTCTTCTAGACTGCTTATACTGCAGAAGAGAGAAGAGTTATTTTTCTTACCAGAAAGTCAATTATTCTATGCCAGTTTTAACCTTACTATCATGTGCTTTATTTTGTAGGTTTTACTTTTGATTGACCCTATGGATGAAGTGTCTCTCACAAATCTGAACTCCTACAAGGATAAGAGTTTCGTGGATATTAGCAAGGAAGACCTGGACCTAGGTATGCATGTAAATATAAGAACATAGTTTCTTAACATCCTTTTACTGCTTACTGAATTGAATTTTGAAAACAGAAGTTGTGGAGCTTAGTATATATTAATGTAAAGTGAATTATCCTTCTTGGTCTGGCCAAAGGCCTACCAATGTGTATATGCTGTAGAAAATGTAATTTGTAAGACTCTTTTTCTTTCTTTATAATTTAAAAGGCTGTAGGAAACTCTCCTAGTCATTGACCGCTCAACAAAAAAAGTAAAGTGAATAAGATGTCACCAAGTAGAGATTGATTTTATACAATCAGCTAAGTGCTCACTTGTACCAGGCATGTTTTTCTCTTTCGATGAGTTGAATTTTGAATAGAAGTTGCAGAGCATGAGGAACTTCTCCCTTCACTGTTTTACTCTCCACTAATCGCCATGGTTTATCAGTTTACCTTTCTCATTAATTGACAAAGCGTGAAGCGAACTAGATGTCACCTATTAGAGGCTGATTTCACAGTCAGCTAAAATGTTATCTTTTATCAGGCACCTTTTCTATTTTAGGCTGCATATTGCTTTGCAGAGTTGAGAGCATAATATTCATTTATCGTAGTTTTGTGCTCCTAGTTTCTGATTGTGGCCTGCAAATATAACCTAGGTGATAAGAATGAGGAAAGAGAAAAGGAAATGAAGCAGGAATACAGTCAAACCTGTGACTGGATCAAGAAACGTTTGGGTGAGAGGGTTGCTCGAGTTGATGTATCCAACCGTCTCAGCTCATCACCATGTGTTCTAGTTGCAGCCAAGTTTGGTTGGTCAGCCAATATGGAAAGGTTGGACTCTACTTCACTTATTTCCTCAGTTGTTAACTCGCTATACAAAGTTGTCATTAATATCTTGATATTGTTCCTCAGGTTAATGAGGGCGCAGTCTATAGGTGATACGTCTTCTCTGGATTTCATGCGTTCCAGGAAAGTATTTGAAATAAATCCAGAGCATGAGATAATCAAGCGATTGAATGTAAGTGTTCATTTTTTATGATTTCCTTTCACATTGTCTCTGTTGATCTAGAGGCCTACACAACCCTTGTACTGTGCTACGAATTAAATATGTTGGATGCTGGTAGCTAATCTTCAATGGTAGATCTCTGATTTGAGGATCCCTATACAGTGTTGGTTGTAATGATTATTTCTTGGCAACGCAGGCTGCGTGCAGAATCAACCCTGACGACCCAGAAGCTCTAAAGGCAATCGACATCCTCTTTGAAACTTCAATGATTTCTAGCGGCTTTACGGTGAGTACACCCATCTGCCTTGTCATCTACTCCCCTCTGTTCCCAAATTGAACTGCCAAAACGTCTTATACTCCCTCTGTCCCAAAAGTGTCTCAACTTTGTACTAAGCTTGAGACAGTTATTTTGGGACGGACGGAGTATTTAGGAACAGAGGGAGTATATCTCATATCACAGTCAAGGAAACATACTGCATGTTTTCTTCTGAACCTTGCCTTTTGTTTCACATAATTATTGTTAGGGGTAGGGTGTGTGCGTTTCTCAAAATAAAAATAATAATGCCCATGTTATGATATGATGCAGCCTGATAACCCAACTGACCTGAGCGGGAAGATCTATGACATGATGAGCACAGCTATGGCGGGCAAGTGGGCGTCGCAGCCCCAACCTGCCCAGCCAAGCCAGCAGCCTGCTTCACCTAGTAGCTCTGAACCTGAGCCGCTTGAAGCCGAGGTGGTGGAACCCGTCGAGGCTGGCCAGCAGAAGTGAGAATCCGCATCGTGGGAATCCATCAGGGTCGATGTCAAGTGCATACGCGGGTGCTATCCCAAGCTCTCTGCTTGTTCCTTTTTTTATTATGTCGGAGTCGGTTTACACGCCATGTATGATGAGCCGTGCGAGTGCTAGTATACACTTATCCTAGATAGGGTTGTGGTGATTACTAATAATAGTACTAGAACATTTTGGCCATGAACACGCTCGACTACCGAATCGGAAAGAGTTTGTATTGCGTAATTGATCATAATTAATGCCGGCCGTGCTGGTTCAGTTTATGCTGCCTTCCATAGAGTCGAGTACTATTCCCTGAATGCACAAGAAACTGCTTGAACAGTAAATTCAAAAAAGATTTTTAAAAAATATAAATGTTTTATCATCCAAGGCACTCAAATATGTGATGTCCACGCAAAAATTTCATCGTGTTCTGACAGAAAGATTTAAAAAATATATAAATGCTTTATCATCCAAGACACTCAAATGTGTGATGTCCACGCAAAAATTTCATCATGTTCCGACAGTAAACTTTCTCAGAGACCAGAATTTTGCTTCCGTTTGTTAAATGTCTAAACCCTACCAAATTTGACATGGACATCACGCACTCGAACATATTTCATGCCAAAAAATTCAGATGTTTTGAATTTTTCTACTTCCGTAGAACATCTTACATTTTAAGACGGAGGGTGTAGTATTTTTTATTTTATTTTATTCACGCAAGGGAGCATGTGAGCTCGGCAGCCGAATCATGCTTTTCTTTTGTTAAAGGCCAGTACTAGGTGCCGGTCCGATGTCAGCCGTCCGATTGGCCGAACCAGGGCCGTCTGATCCTGTGGAGATGCCTTCCCATACCTGTTCAGTCATCATGCATATACGAACAAAAAAAATCCCCTCCTGCGCCAACCAACGCGCGACTTGCACGCCGTTGACGCGCCCGTGCGCTTCGGCAAGGCGCCGTGGCGCCCCTGCGTCGATGCACCTTGCAGCATCCCACTCCCGTCGAAAAACTCGTCACCACCCTCGATGGTCGCTGTTGCTCATCTTTCCGGTTCTTCTTTGTATGAGCATGAAAATAACAATGAACACTGATAGTAGCAAAAATTGATAACGGTTGGAGCAAAGAATACATAGTCCCGGGTCTCGGCAACCTCATGATTCATCCAAAGACGGATGTAACAATCGACAGCGCTGGTAGTAGCAAAAATCCAATACGGTTGTAGCAAAGGTGATACAAATGGTTCCAGCGAAAAAACATGGCAGCAAAAATTTGGTTAGTTCCAGCAAATATCAAAGACGGTGGTAGCAAATTGATACACTGGTTCCAGCAAATACAAAACGTGGTAGCAAAAAATTTGGTTGGTTTCAAACAGAAATGGAAGATGCTGGTAGCAAAAATTCGAGCTGGTTCCAGCAAAATCAAATCATGGTTCCAACAAAAAAAATGTCGCCCGATCTCCCTGCACTTATCGCCGTGGTTCAGCATCGCCGCACAGCCACCGCCGCGCTGGTTCCAGCGCCTTCACCGGCTGGTTGCAGCAAAAACGGCAGCTAGTTCCAGCATCACCGTCTCCCCGGGGTGCACCCCGTCACTGCGGTTGCAGCACACGGAGCATCCCCCGGTCGCCGTCGCCCGCAGTGCGTCTTCACGCACACCCGTCCTCCACGAATTGCAGTGCGTGGTCACCGCCGTGGTAGCACCCCAGTCTCATGGTTGCAGCACGTGGTGCACCTCCGTCTCGCATCATGGTGGTCATGCCATGGCTTGTGGCAGGATTGAGTGAGCGGGTGGCCATGGCTGAAGAGAAGAAACCGAGGATGGGGATGAGCTCGGCCGCTTGGAGAAGAGATAAGGCAATGTGTGGATAAGAAACGTCTGGATACCGATTGGGGGTAAAAATCTCGGATAAAAAGGTGGGTGGGCTCTATGCGCACATGGCATGCATGAGAAACCAGCTGAGCAACAGCGCGAGGCGACCGGCGCAAAGTTCCGCCGGCCGACCGGATATAAGTGTTTCCCTTTGTTAAAACTACTCACATGTTTAAACACCATCAAATTTGGCATGGAAATCACACTTAAACATCTTCCATGCCAAGAAAATTCAGATCTTTTGAATTTTTCTAGTATTTTTTATTTTTATTTTATTGTTCATGCAAGGGAGCTGGTGATCTCGAGAGCCAAATCACTCACCCTGTCCCGTACATATATGATACTTTTGATACTCCCTCTGCACAGATGCATTGGGCGTTTAATGAGCTGCATGTAGCAGAAAAAAACAGCTGCGTGTAGCCAAAGTTCAAGGAGAGTGTTCGAAAGAAAGAAAATCAAACCATCAGCCCGTCACCGTCCCAGTCTATTTCATTGACGACTACTATTCTTTTGAAGCGCTATGCGTCATTCGAGTGATGATCTGAAAAGATCAACCGCCTTGCCGACCGTTGGATGGAGCCTGTAATAACTAGCTGCTTGACCATCATCATGCCTCGTGAGAGTCAGTCTTTGCAACAAGGAAAGAGACCCTTGTTGCAAACATCCCCTGGTCGGTTCTTTTCCTTCTGAAAGGAGAACCTGTAAAATAGGGTCTAGTATATTGTCCTTGTACACGTATTTGTATACGTATGTAATTGTAATTGTGATCCTCTATATATATTGAGACGTGAGGCTGGATGTCAACCACCCACGCAAAATCCTAAACCTGTGTTTCTAACTTGGTATCAGGCCGGGCCGCCGCCGCAAGTTCCTCGCGCCGCCGCCCGATCCTCTCTCCACGCAGCCGCTACTTCCGATCGCTGCGCGAGCTAGCCAAGCTAGCGATCCATCCGCCGCGTGAGCTAGCCAAGCTAGCCATCCATCCGCCGCGTGAGCTAGCATCCATCCGCCGCGAGTGCGTTCCATCCATCTGCGCCACCGCTTCCGATCGCGGTTGCTGCGCGTGCCATCTCCCGCGACTTGCTCCGCTGCCGCCGCGCGCTGTCTCATCCACGCCACCGCTGCGATGTCATCCGCCGCTATGTCCGTCGCCCAAACTAGCGGCGCGATCGTCTCTTCTCCCGTCGCCTCGATCCCGCGCTCGCCGTCCCGACGATCTCCGTCCGCCTCGGTCGCCACAACTTCATGCTCTGGGGGGGGGGGGCATCACCAACACCTTTCTTGCCGGTGCCAACCTCCATGGACACCTCGATGGCACCAAGGCGGCACCGGCCAAAACACTCGTTGTCGGCACCGGCGACGCTGCTACCACCGTCGCCAACCCGGAGTATCACCAATGGTGGGTTCAAGATCAGCGCGTCAAGGGGCTTCTTCTCACCTCCATGGATGAGGATATTGCATGCCAACTTATTGGCTGCGAGTCGGCGCATACGGTCTGGACAGCCGTCGCCGCCATGTTCGGCGCCCAGAGTCGCACCAATGTCCGCCACATCCGGCGGCAACTTCAGTCGCTGAGGAAGGATGATCTGTCTGCCGCGGAATACATGCACAAGATGAAGGCCCTGGCCGACACTATGGCCGCCGCCGGCTCTCCGATCCGGGATGATGAGCTTATCGATCACATCCTCACTGGCCTCGGCTCCGCCTACAACTCCATCGCCGCCTCCTTGGGCGTGAGTAATGCACCCATGCCGTACTCCAGTTTTTACTCATTGGTTCTGTCCTTTGAGGCGCTGCAGGCACAACAGAGTGCGGTGGAGGGGTGGTCTCCTTCCGCGAACGCCGTGACCCGTTCGGGTTCGTACGGCGCGGGCGGACGCGCGCCCTACTCCGATCCCTATCCCTCCCATGGTGGGGGGCGCCTGGCTGATGGACATGGCCAGCCAGGGCAGAACCGCCAGGGCGGTAATGGCGGTAACACCGGCGGCCGTGACCGCAATACTGGTTATGCCGGCAATGGCCGGCAAGGTGGAGGAGGCAACGCCGGCAACAACAACGGCGGAGGAGGTGGGCGTCGCAACCGCTGGCGTCCCCGGTGCCAAATTTGCAAGAACTGGGGCCATGAAGCCGACGACTGTCGCAAGCGCTATGATCAGGATCACAACTCCCGCTCCACCAACTCGTCCTCCACCAACACCGTCGACTTTCCTTGGGTGTTGGATACCGGGGCTACGGATCACTTGACTAATGATCTTGAGCGCCTCCAGGTTCATGAGCGCTATGACGGCAAGGATCAGGTTCAGGTGGCCAATGGTGCAGGTTTGTCTATTTCACACATTGGTCATTCGCGTTTACCCGGTTCATCTCTTAAACTGCGCAACATCCTTCATGTTCCACACATCAGCCAGCATCTTCTCTCTGTTTATCGTCTTCTTTGTGATAATGACGTGTTTGTTGAATTTCACCGTCGTTTT